GAGGGGGAGGGGTAGGGGGTTAAAAAGGAGAACCAAAAAAAAAAAATAGACCGGTTGGCCCGGCCCGGCCCGGCCCGGAACCGGAACCGGAACCGCCCACCGGCGGTTCGGGCCCGGGCCCTAGTTTTCTGGCCCGAGGCCCGGCCGGGCCCAGGCCCGAACCGGGCCCGAACCGGCCCGAGTCCACCCATATTCTTAATCCACAAATTTGATGGTAAATTACTAGATTTGTGGAATAGAACCACAAATTAAAAGTAAGACGGAGTAATACTTTTTTTGAAAGGAAAAGTAATATGTAATACTTAACAAATACGGAGTAGCAAATTAGATGAATAAGAATTATCAATACTTAGAGGTGTACTAGATATTTTACATATTTATTGTTTTATTCTAATGGAGTTAGAAAATAATGACCAATTGACCAGCCCTCCTCTAGGTTGAGACGTTGAGTAGGTTCCATGTCTTTTTTATTTTGTTTTTGCCTCTCGTCCATGATGATGAAATTTCAAATGCTAAACAAACAATCAATATACAAAATGCATAATTTTTTAAAAAAGTACACATTGAGCACTTATTCAAATCGCGCAACGCGCGTGTAAAAACTAGTACGAGTATACGACCGGACGACGACCACTATCACGACATCATCTTTTGTTTGTATATTCATACTAGTTTTCATACGCGCGTTGCGCGATAGTGTAGATGCCCAATGTTGTTTAAAAAATAAACACTTCCAAAATATGTCTAGTAGTTATTATCTATTGAATTGAATCTTATTGGCATGAAAACATGCAACCTTTGACTTTTTATTGTAATGCCTTGAGGCACACATTTAATTACTTAGCTTATTACAAATGCTTTCCAAGGAGTTCTTCTGGCCAATAGGTGTTATTAGCAAAAGATTTTCCTTTTCCCTACAAATATAAAGATAGCCCCGTCCCCATAGGTTTCATGTTAGTGGTTTTCATTTCCAAATACTTCTAAGTTGTCTTACATAAAACAAAAACTTACAGATTAAACTATCTGTACACATTTTGTCATTCATATTTAGATTATTATAAGTTCACTCCATGGAGGAAATCACAAGAAAAGTTAGTATCGGTATCAATAAGATGCAAGTTCTAACTTGTTAAGAAATAGTCGATCATTAGATGGCTCCCAGCATAATTGTTTATAGACAAAAAACAACTATCATAGTTTTTGAGCTTGCTTCAAGTTTTGTGAAAATTTGTACTCCGTACTTTATAGTAGTTTTTCATTACTTAAATTTGGATGCTACTTATTAGAACCAATTGAAATCGAATTATTATATGGATGACACTGATGTTTTGTTTTTCTAACACTCAAATTAAACTAAGTAATTACATACGGAGTACTACTTATGCCAATTGTTAGCAAAACCAGCCACAATTTTGGTAATTATTTCATGCATCCTTCATAAATAATAAACTGTGGAAGGCTACAAGCAGAGCTTAACTATTAGTGCTAATTATTCTCTACGTAGTATAATGTTACTGTTATACTTCGTACTATGTACGAGTATTATCTTAGTGATAGCACTAATATTTTAAGAAGATGAGCTGCTATGAACAAAAAAACTAAGACACCAAACATTACACATTTACACCTGATGTAGACATACAACCTAATTAACTTAAACATGTTCTATTCATTTACGGCTTCAAACCATCCCTAGAGGTTTTCCTTTTCCACCAAAAAACACTATTCTCCTGATGCAAAATTAGACATGACCATGGAATTGAAGCTTCATTTGACGGAGTCACCGATGAAAATGAATGATGTTTCTTTTATTTTAAAATGGAAAAATTGATATGAATAATCCCAACTATCGGTGGTCCGTTTATAATAATCCCAATTATTGATTATTTCAGAATAATCCCAACTTTAGGGACCTTCCGCCAATAATGGTCCCTAAAAATAAATTCTTGTAGTTTCTAAAGTGGATGAGAAGATATATAGCAATAATGCCTATAAATAATCCCAACTTTTGATTTTTACACTTAATTTCTATTTAAAATTCACTTTTTTATAGGAGTTAAATCTGATCATGGACCATTATTGGCGGACAGTCCATATAGTTGGGATTATACAAAAATAATCAATAGTTAGGATTATTGGTTAATGCAGTGGAATTATTGGTTTACAACTCTAAGCTAGGAAAAAGGCTTCTCTATCCTAAAGGCTTGTCTCTTATGTGGTTTATGTTAGGATTAGAAAGGCATCATCTTCGCTTGTTTAAATGGAGTGAAGTCGTGAAGATCAAAACAAATTCAACACAAAAGAAGTATGAAGTAATCCAATTTTAACAAAAAAATTAAGGTAAACAAAACCAAGTCTAAATACACTGAAGGAGAACAACTTGCTATGCAGATCTCAATCCATTTAAAATATATTTTACGTTTTGTGCATTTAAGAGGTTTTTTTTTTAAAGAGGTATTTTTTTTTTAAATTGCATATCAAAACCATCTTTGAGTTTGTGAGTTCTGAAAATAATAATTTGAGCACATTTTTTGCTTTCAGCCAAGGAGAACATCCTGCCACAAGGTGCAAATATATGAGGATATATCATATATAGGAGGTGAAAATTATATCGTGTAAAAAGACCGGTGAATTTAATAGCGAGTCTTCTGGACATTTTGTCAAACACATAGCTATCAAACTAAACATATACGAAGTAAAACATAACGAGATACCAAACGGATTTTGAGCCTAATACTTCATCGATCATGTGAAAGGCAGATCTAATTGGCAATACATTGTCACAATATATTAAACAGAGTTGGAGAATTATCTTGAGCACTGGAAAAGAAATTCTGCCAAATGATGAAACCGTACGGTTCAAATGAGTAAAGTTGAAAGAATAATCTCCAGTTTGCTTAATTGGTGCTTCACAGGAGCTGAAATGAACGGAAGGTTAAGATCGAGTTTCCATCTTCATCATCACCATCGTCATTGACCATTAGAACAAAGGAAAAAAATAACTTACAGGGAGACAAAGCCTTGAGAGAAACGCTTGGGGGGCCAAACGGCCAATGATCCAGCTGAGACGTACGGGTGGGTAAGGGAAGTAGCGAACCACATGCTTTTGAACGTAAAGGAAGACGAGCAGAGTAAGTTGAATTACTAACGGAGTGAGGAGACGTTTGTTTAATAGATAAACGAAATAGAGTAAGTATAACGTGTTAAGCGTATGGTACATTCGTATACAGCTTAGATGTTACACCAACAAATTTTTGATACCCAAAATAGCCTTACCTTCATTCACTCTTATAGGTTTGTAGAGACATAATATATATAGTTAAAATCAACACTAGATAAAAAGTTATTCAATTCACTTGGATCGATCACTTCCCGTGTTGGCAGACAATTTATTCACCTCCATTCAAATAAAACTTAACTATGGATGATAATTTATTAGAAAAAATGGCACCAAAATAACTTCTCAACTTGTCTTGGACAAAACTATGTCCATTTTTTGAAATACCATAAAAGTGACCCGGCCCACCACCTCTTTCATTCCGCTGACCTTCCTCTTCTATTCCACTGCTTCATCTTCTTTCTTCTGCCTAAGCCTTTTTTTAGGGAATCTTCTGTCTGAGCCTTCATTGCAATCGACCTCGCAACCTCCATCACCGGCGCAATAAATCTCCGCCCTCAGCTTCGTCGACGGCAACAACATGGATGAAGACTCCGATTTGAGGCCTAGCTCCTCCGTTTTGCTCGCTCGTCGCCCCTCCCATGGAGGAAGACTCCGATTTGGGGCTGACAGTTCAGAATCCGCCTTCATCAATGTTCGACGACTCTAATTAGGCCCCGCTGGCGCCGGATCCGCCATCTTGATGGATGAAGACTCCGATTTGGAGCCGCCGTTGCTGGCGGAGGTGCGGTGGTGGTATCCCGTTCTTCCTGCTTTCCTCATATGAAGACAGAAAGCTTGAAGTTACTTCCCTCATCTATGGTGATGTTGCTGAGATGAGACTGGGGCCAGGGAGATGGGGTGGGGAGCTGGTGGTTGGGCTGGAGGCTGTGGAGGGGGCTTCGGGGGATGGGAAGGTGTCTAGGAGAGTAGGAGTGGCTGGGGGATTGGAGGGGGTTGGTGAGGTGACTGGGGGTCGGGGAGTCAAGTCAGGGGTGGGGCGGTGGTGGTGCGATGATGGTCGGCGGCGGTACAAGGGTGGTGCTGCATCACTATGGCGGCGGCAGTGTAACTGTAATAGGCAGTGACTGGTTTGAGGGCACGGGTGGGGCTGCGGCAGTCACTGACCAGAGGCGGTTACTGGCCGGGGGTGGCGGCGACAGTCACTTTGACCGGAATAGTTGTGTCATTTTGACCGGAAAATAGTTGTGTCACTGTGGCCGGAATAATTGAGTCACTGCGGCGGCGTCACTATATATGGCCATAGTGACACGAGCGGTGGCTACAGTGACACGGGCGGTGGCTACAGTGACACAGACGGTGGCTACAGTGACACAGGCGGTGGGTACAGTGACACGGGTGGTGGTTACAATGACACCCGCAGTGACATAAAATCTGACAGTGATAGTATGCTTTTTCAAATATATGACCTTCCTAGTCACGTTTTTGTCTTTTTGAATAAATGATCACAATCTAGGAAAATGGCTTTAATTTAGTAATATTGAAGGCAAAAGCCCAATTTATTAACCAGATAAGAAATTTATTCACGTCCATTTAAATAAAAAATGACTCTTGATGATAATTTATTTACTAGATAAGAAATTATTAAATACTTAAAAAAAGAATAACCTACAAAAAAATTTATTTTCATTAATTTAATAGTTTTGCTGATAGTTTAATTTTATACGGAGTAGTTAATAACAAGCAATTTTATTTTGTGTAGCTATTTTACCATAATTTATAAAATTATTCCAGAAATAACTTGTATATACGTTACATACTACGGCGACACATGGTTGTTCTAAATTATAATAAGATGATCTCTTGTTAGAACAAAATATTCTGGAGACCTATGCATACATTTTGAGCTTATGTCAGATAGACAGGTAGTTCCTAGTTCGAGTTGAAAATTGAAAGGACTTCGATGGCATATTTAGACATGGAGTTTCACAACAACCGATGAACGTTAGTGTGGATAATAAAAAATAATAAAATGAAATATACACAACACAAATCCTGTTTTTTTCTCTTTTTTTTACCCAGGGGTCGGGGAGAGGGGGATGTGAGGCCTGAGATAAATAGAGATAAAAATGCTTCCTTGGAGTTTCGAACTCAAGACTTCCCAGAAGGGAGAGTGGAGAGTGAGTCAGCAATCAATTGGACTGGACCGCTTCCTCAACACGAGTTCTGTATTCTTTGTCACAAGTCCACAAGGAAATAAACGATTTTTAATATTTTTAATATTCTTTTTTTAGGATGAGATCTGGATATGCATATATCATCACATCACATTCTAAAGACACCAAATTTGGTTGTCTGAGGATGCCCGCCGCGGTTCAAAGTGGCAGAGAGGGAAAGACCTAGGATTCTTCTAGTGTCAGCGGGATCAATCACGCCATCATCCCACAGTCTAGCTGTGGAGTAGTAGGGATCACCCTCTCTCTCATATTTCTCTTCAACCTCTGCCTTATACCTTTCCTCTTCTTCCTTCCCCCACTGCATGTATATTTTTTTGCCTGAATTCTCTGCTGACGGTTTATTATTGTGTAAAAGAAGAATATTATGTATGGTATTTTACCTCAATTCCCTGCCTCTTCTTGTTGGCCTTTTCTATCCCAGAGAGTACACCAGCAGCCTAAAAACGCAGACAAGAAATCAAGTTTTGATAGTTGCAAATTTAAAAATACTTTCTTAAACTTAAGGGTAATCTTTTTTTTTTTAAATAGATGTTGTAATAAACATAATTTATCTAGAAATGTGAATGCTACGGAGCCCACTAAGAGTGAATCTACCGTACCTAAAATGCATATCATTGGTTCACATCACCATTTCATCATCTCCTTACATTTGAATTACCCAATTGTAATATACTAATTGGTTCATATTGACAAGAATTGGTACGCTAAGGATACCATAAGAATTTTCTATCTAGAAAATGCAATTTCATAAGAAAAACACTAGCAGGCAAGTTGTATTGCAGTGAAACTAGCATTAAGCAAGGCTAAAAGAAACTTTTTGGGTTTGTTAACTGGCTGGAACCCAAAAAACAACAAAAAGTCTGAGGTAACACGTTCTAATTGCATGGAGGACCACTAGAGCCTTACTTGGTCGTTAACTTCAAAGCTCACAGGATTATGGGGAAGTCTTGGACACCAGTGTTGGCCGTGTTATAAAAAAGCCACGGAGTAATATTACATATAGCGAACCCTAACTAGAGAAGTTTTAAAGTTAAGCTGTGTTTGGTGAAGTGTCTGTTTGACAGAGCTCTAGGCGTGTTAAGTCTTAATCAGCTGTTAAAAAAAAGTTTACTTTAATTGTTTGGTACTTACCTAAAGTACCTATAGAAAAGCTATTATTGAAAGCTTGACATAGAATCTTTCTGAGATAGCTTTTTGAGAGTGCTTTATATTACGGAGTATCAACTTGTTTCCCTTTAACATGTGCTTCATATATTATTATGCTTCTGCCCCTGGCATTTTATGTTATTTGACACATGTAAACAACTGATTACTATCACAAACATCTTTAATAAAAAGTCAGTCAACATGACACAAATCCAAATAGCAAATTTCAAACTGCTGATTACCAGTGCAAACTAATTTCCAAACATGACCGTAGTTGAGATGGAAAAAGGCTGTGAACACTAAAAAGACATATCTACTATACTACATTAACACATTATTATTTCATTTTCATTTACCCCAGTGCCGCAAAGGCTCCCACCTACGGTGGGGTAAGGGGGGGTCGGATGTACGCAGTCTTACCCCTCTACTAAAGCACAGAGAGACTGTTTCCGGATGACCCATAGTGAAAATCATGTCCAAAATTGCATGGACTGACCGCTGCTTCATAACAAAGAATCGCAGACAGTTTAGTGAGCCATTTTGCTTTATTCCATCATATTCTCAAGCCAAAAAATAATGAATCTTTGGCTCCATTGCAAATGATGGAAAATACATTAACACATAATACTATATATAAACATGTACTTCGTATTTACAACACACATTCATTTTTTCTCTGTTATCTACTTTCCCACCACACATTATAGACCCCAAGTTAAAACAACTTAAAAACCGCGGGACGAGAATTTTCCGGTCTGATCTGAACTGATTTGGTTTGTTTAAAACTCGTCTAGTCAAAACTGGTATGCTTTGGTTTGATACCCTATATGTATTTTAATATTATTCAATGCTGATTTGTTTAAATAAGCTCCAGTCACTGAAATAAGTCCGTAATGGGAGAGAGATTTGGACGTGAAATGGTGACCAGAAGTAGTCAATATTCTGAAGGTTATAGCTGATGAAGGATATTGATATTGAAGAGGTACCTGAGCACCTCCCATGACTGATATTCTAGCATTTGGCCATAGAAACATAAAATCCGGACTGTAGGCACGACCACACATTGCATAATTTCCAGCCCCGAAGCTTCCCCCAACAACCACCGTTATTTTAGGGACCTGTTGTAACAAAAAGTTGCATATAATTAAAGATATTATGACCTCTGAGGTGTAATTTCTTTTATTAGATCAACTAAATGGAAAGCTAATAGTTGAACTGAAGCCATTATTGACATAGTAAGAGAAAGCTTCACAGAGGAGCATTGACAATCGGAAATTCATGATCAAGTATACGGAAAGACAATAGTTGAACTGAAGTCATCATTGACATAGTAAGAGAAAGCTTCAGAGAGGAAACTGACAATCGAAAATTCAAGATCAAGGAAAATAGAACTATCTGAAACGTAAACACTACCTTTGCACATGAAACTGCCATCACCATTTTGGCTCCAGCTTTTGCTATACCATTTGCTTCTGATTTAGAGCCAACCTGACCAGGTTTATTAGCACCATCACTTAATTTTTGGTGAAAATTAAAGTAGAAGAGGCTAACACAAAGATACTAGTGATGAATTAGATCCAACCTAACCAAGCTATACTTGAACTATAGGTAAAAGAAGAAGAGGGAAAAAATCACAGGCGGGAAATACATGTTAGAAGAGTACAGACAAAAAATTATTTCCCGAGCAAAGGTGTGATGTCATCAGTATTGCATAGTATATTATGGGATTGTGCCGTAGCAGAAGCTACCAAACTCCGCGTGAACCATATTGTATTTTGTATGTATATATGAGTTTGTCTAATCCACTTGCAGTCTTTGAGTGCATGGATTTCAGTTTGCAAAAATTATCATTTTCAGAGAGCATTCTTAAAAGTCTGTTTGGTAAAAGTGAGTAGATATCAACTGGATTTGTTTTTAGGCATATTTTTCAAAGGTGATCCGCAAAGTGACATTTGTTGGGTTATATAATAGTGTCGGAAAAGTTCATCATCATCATCATCATTACCCCAATGCCGCAAACGCTCCCACCTACGGTGGGATAAGGGGGGTTGGATGTGCGCAGTCTTACCCCTGCACTAAAGCAGGGAAAGACTGTTCCCAGATGATCCATTGTGAAAATCGCGTCGAAAATTGCATGGACTGACTGCTGCTTCATAACAAAGAAGCGTAAATAGTTTAGTGAATCATTTTGCTTTATTCCAACATATTCCCAAGCCAAAATGATGGAAAAGCTTTGGGAAAGTTAAAAGCAATAAAAAATGTGCTTTCCAAAAGCACTTCCAGTTACATCGGTAACATGCTCTCTGAATAAAAAACGGCATTCCACAATAGGAAACACTGTTTTAGCGTCTCAAAAGAACTTTCAGTTTTTTAAAAGCCGTTGCCATACGGGAACTTCAGAGTCAGGAAATTACTCTCTTTTTACTCAGAGACTGTAAGTTGCCCACATTTTCTTTTCAAGAGAGTAGATCAATTGAAATCCTCAATTTGAGAGGTACATAAAATAAAAGAGGCTCACCATAAATCCCGTAATATTCTGAAGAAAGATCAAAGGAATGTTACGCTGACAGCACAGTTCAATAAAATGTGCTCCTTTTAAAGCAGACTCACTAAACAATATCCCATTGTTTCCAATGATTCCGACCGGATTCCCATAAATTCGCCCAAAACCTGTTACAAGTGTCTGTATAGAGGGAGAAAACTATTCAGAATGCAAGTCATCGGGAACAAAAAGATTGAAATATATCATATATGTTTTTTAAAGAAAATGTAGGTAATCATTAGAAAGGCCTGACAGTGCCGTATAGCTTTTTGAATTCATCGAATTCACTTCCATCAACTATGCGAGCGATTGCTGATCGGGTGTCAAAAGACTGTTTGAGGTTTGTTGGTGCAATGGAACGAAGTTCTTGCACATCATACAATGGCTCTTTGAAATCAGTTGGGGTTGTTGTTGGAGTTTGGCCTTTTTGTTGGCCTCTCGCCATGTGCAAATTCTTGACAATGTTCCTCCCAATTACAAGAGCATGGAGTTCATCTAAAAAAGATAGGCATAAAGTCATTGCCATGACTCATGAGAAACAATAAAAAATTATGTTTATAATTGATTCAACATTAAACAGGCCCAACTTTTCATCTAGGCTTAAGGCTATGTTTGGAACATGGAAAATACAAGGCAAAGAAAATAAGAAGAGAAATAGAGGGAAAAAAGTTGGAATGGAAGAAAATTTGGGAGGGAAATTTAAAACAGACTCATACTTGATACAACATATTTTTAGATATTTGTTCTAACTCATTTCTTATTTCTATAATACACACACTAAATAATCAAAACATATGTCCAATTCAAAAAACATACAGATTACTAATCACATTATGTTTCTTTTCTTTTCAATGTAAAGCCAAACCTAATAAAATAGCTTTAATTAGCACTTTACTCTTTTTCCCTATATTTTTCAGCGATCTAAATATTCACTAAGAATATGGACCACATATTAATTGTAGGTGGATATATATACCTTGGGCAAAGTAGTCGGAAACACCAGAGGTTTTACAATGAACATTTGCACCGCCAAGGTCTTCGGCTGAAACTATTTCTCCAGTTGCAGCCTGTATCAAAGCTCTCCTTTTAGATGTAGGGTATTTACATAAAGATTAAAAAAACAAAAAAAACTCCAGCAGTAATTTTTTTATGTTGCGTACGCACAGCTTTTTTATTTAATTGTTTTTTTTTTTCATTTTTTGTTTGTTAAAGTGCACTGAACGGACCTTAACAAGAGGCGGTCCAGCAAGAAATATGGTACCATTTCCTTTGACCATAACACTTTCATCAGCCATTGCAGGTATATAAGCTCCACCAGCTGTACAAGAGCCTAAAACCAATGCAATCTGAGGAATACCTTCAGATGACATCACTGCCTGGTTGTAAAATATTCTGCCAAAATTCTCCTTGTCCGGAAAAACCTCAGCTTGTTTAGGAAGGAAAGCCCCTCCACTGTCAACAAGATACAGACAGGGTAGTTTGCATTGTGCAGCAATTTCTTGTGCTCTAAGATGTTTCTTTACAGTGATGGGGAAATAAGTCCCACCTTTGACAGTAGGGTCATTTGCAACGAACATACAAAGCCTTCCATTCACAGGCCCTATTCCAGTAATTATTCCACCAGAAGGTAATTTTTCTTCATACAATTCGTGACCTGCAAGCTGCATTCATTCACATAAAGACTGATTCACCAAAAAGGATAACAGCTTTACTTATCTGTCATCTTTTGACTTCAGTACCAATTGTTTATATTTTACCTAGCGCTTACATAATGCAGGAGGTATAAAATAAAAAATTGAAGTAGAGATGACATTATTAACTGGAGAAAGCTCTAGGAAAGAAGAACCAGGGTCGAGAAGACGATCTATTCTCTCCCTTGGAAGAAGCTTATTCCTGCTACGGTTTCTGTTGACGGCTCCAGGTCCTCCACCTTCCGTCACCTATCCATTTTCCAGGCCATTGATATTCAGTTCGCCGGAAAAAAAACGGAAGATTTCAACTTATGTAGTCCCTACAGAAAGAGGAAAAGGAGGACCTTCCGGATATGAGAGTTGAGCTGAGAGACGAGATCGTTCATGGCCTTAGAATTTGTGGAGAATAACTCTGAGCTGCGGTCTAGCGTATCGGGTAGGACGCTTATGCAGAAGTTTCGGCTGGGGGGATTGATCACAGGAATTGTTTTCCGCCATGGGAACGAACTTCTTGAAGCTGATTTTGATGCTCCCCGAGTTAAAATTCCCAGCATTTTGCCAAAATGGTTGCCTCCAGTCCTTTCCTCAGTTGCTCTCACCTTCTTCCCAATACTCCACTCTTCTGTTAAGCTAAGCTAAAGAAAGAAATTTTATCTTATCACAAGTTGTACAGAGCAGTTGAGCTTTCCGTACCGGGTTTCACCCCAACCCGCACACCTATCTTTTATACTCCGTAAGTATTCATTTCAATTATATAATCCTTCAATTTAAAAAAATAAACCCACCTCTTAAAAGTTAAACCCAGTAGTAACCAGTACCTATTCTTCAATTCCGGAGGAGGAGCAGAAGGGGTCTCAAGAATGAAGAACTGGATATCACCAGCTTCACCCTCACTTCGTACTCCCAAATTCTTCTTCCCCGTCTTCATTTCACACTCTCAGTCTCTACCTTTCATATCCGCTGCCGCTGAGCAGCGAAAGGTACCTACTTCAGGACGCTCTTCATCAAAATCAAAGAAAACCCAAACTCCTACCCCCACTATGGAGCAAACTGAAACTCCAACCAAGGAATCTTCCATTCCTAAGAAAAAGGTTCAATCTTTTCCAGGTTTCCATCACAACTGTCGCTGTTCTTTTTATTAATAATAAAGAACATTGGGGGTACTTAGACGCGTGTTCTTGGAAATGGTAGGTGCTGGTGCCAATTGGGTTTGGGACAGAAGAAATGGAAGCTGTAATAATGGTGGATGTACTGCGGCGGGCTGGTGCAGGGGTGACTTTTGCATCAGTGGAGCCGCAATTAGAAGTTGAAGCTTCTGGAGGCACTAGGCTTGTTGCTGACACCCTAATATCCGCCTGTTCCAATGAAGTGTTTGATCTCATTGCACTTCCAGTAAGTTCTTGACCTTCTTCCCCTGGCTAATTGGGGTTATTTAGCTGAAGGCACTAAGACTTGCATAAGGTATCAAGTATCAACCATTAACAACTATTTCTGTAAAAAGAAGTAAGTAAGAATACTTGCACCTTTCTCACATAATTAGAAGAATATGCCCATTGTGGATTTTTTGGCTAGTCGAGTAGCTGTTAGCTGTTCATTGTGTGTATTAGATGTCTTGAAAAGCTCATTGTATTAGCTGTTTTGACTAGCATATTGCCTAAGAAATCAGGTAAATGGTTTGTAGGAAAAAAACTGTTAAAGGCTAGCTTTATGTGAGAGATATAGTTGTAACTCATATGTTCTTCCAAATGCTGATGGCAGAGGGTTTTGTAAAACACCTTTTTGGACCTAATAAACTCTTTTAGTAAGTTGTTAACCAGACAACTGAAATTAGCTTTTCAGCTTGTCCAATTCATAACAGAACCATATTAGTTATAATTTTAGTTATAAGCTCTCAGAAATGCTGTTTGCCAAACATGCCCAATGACTACCAAATGTTACCTGTATGGCCATAATCACTGCATCTCTCTAATAAAAGCACTACATTAGCTCTCATTGCAGACTGAGAATGATTTGACATTAAATGGTCCAGGGTGGAATGCCAGGTTCTGTGCGTTTCAGAGACAGTGAAGTTCTCAAGAATATAATGATCAAACATGCTGAAGAGAAACGGCTATACGGTGCCATATGTGCTGCTCCTGCAGTCACTCTTTTGCCTTGGGGTCTTCTTAGGAGGAAAAAGGTTGGTCTCGTTGCCCTTCTCCTATCTGCACTGCAGATATTCTCATATTGCTAATAATTGACATTGTATGTAGCTTTGTGTGGTTAGGTTACTTGTCATCCTGCATTTATGGACAAGCTTCCTACCTTCTATGCTGTAAAGACTAATATCCAAGTGTCCAGTGAGTTAACAACAAGCCGTGGTCCCGCTACATCCTTTCAGTTCACTATATCTTTGGTGGAACAACTGTTTAGTGAAGCCGTTGCCAGAGAAGTAGGAGAATTATTGGTCAGTCTATAAGTTTGTTCACTTTTTTTCATACTCTTCATACGAAAAAAGTGCATCCAATAATTTAGGTTTTTTCTAGTTTTGAATGTGCATCCAATAATATATATTTTACTTGTGGTAATTTTGTGTGATATAATCAACTAAGGTATCTCTTATTTGTACCCATATCCACATCATAAAGAACAATCGATGTTCTTCATTCTCAAGTTTCAAGAAATGGTATGATAATTTGAAGAAAATAATTTAAGAAAGCTATAAGCATTAATTTCTCATTAATTGCTTCTTAATTAATGGTCTATAACTTTGAATTCTTAGCCTTAAATATTAGCAATTTTTTATATTGAAAAAGAAAAACTGATAAATATGTTGAAGTTTGTATAATTTTTGTTAGGTACATATTAATGTTATTAATGCGTTTGTATTGATCAAATAAAACAATAATGTAAAATGCCTGGCCTAGGCTTAAAAGCTTGATGCTTGTTCCTTGCAGCATCATCCCACATTGCATCTTTTAGAATTTAGAACCTTTACTAAGGTGTGGTATAGCTTATCCTTTACATTGAGAAATAAATATGTGTGAAATTCTTCTTATCTCTTGGACTCTTGGTCAAGTTAACTAAATCAATTGCAAAATTAGGTGCTTCAAATTGAAAACACTATTGAAGGGTAATTGATAGACTTGTGTCTTTTTTCACATTAATTATCACTTTCTTTTTCAATGACACTAAATTAGACACTGTTGATTCTATGTGTAAGCTGCTCAAACTTTCTTTTCCTTTGTTCATTGCAGTTACTGAATGTGAACGATAAAGATCCCATAAAACAAGAATTCAACGAGGCCCAATGGTCTTTTGACCATTCCCCCCAAGTAAGCATGCTGTACAGTTTACTCTTAGCTGTGCGCTCAAGTGCATACAAAGAGCATCTTTGCATAACCTGCACATATATTTAGAATGAAATTCGTTGTATACCCAATAATGGTCCGCTTGGAACCCTGAAAATGCTAGGGAGAGTACGGAAGGTGAGAAAATCTAGAGAAATGAAAAAGTTACAAAATATGATAATTCTATAATATAAAGATTAAAATTAGGGGGAATTTGACTTTGCACCCCACTTTTTGGATGATATTGGACTTTGCACCCTATTTTCAAAAAAACTTTGACTTTGCACCCCAAGACATACCATTTTGTGAAGAAACATTTCTAAATGGGGTGCAAAGTCAAAAGAATTTTAAGTGGAATGGGGTGCAAAATCAATTTTTTTTCAAAATGTGGTGGAAAGTCCATTATCACCCAAAACGTGGGGTGCAAAGTCAAATTCCCCCTTAAAATTATGAATGCAGGTAAAAGTTACAAAAGTTTTGAGATAATCTGCGTTTCCTTCACATTTTCAAAGATGGAACCAAACATTTAAAATATAAAAATATTTCCGTAGCGTTTTCCTTTTCTTTTCAGTACCATTTTTCACATTTCATAATTATAGCATTATGGTTGTTGGATATTTTCATCTCTCAAGTATTTGCTCAATATACCAATACCAGGTTCTTATACCAATTGCAAATGGCTTTGAAGAGATTGAAGTTGTTACAGTTGTAGATATTTTAAGGCGCGCAAAGGTCAATGTTGTGGTAGCTTCGGTACAAAAATCTGCAGTAACATTGGGATCCAACGGCATTAAGATTGTGGCAGACATGTTGATTGACTGTGCTGCAGAGTCAACATATGACTTGATTATCTTGCCGGTAATACTTAGAAACCAGTTTTGTGCAAGAGAAGTACAATTTTTTTGTTCATTTCTTTCTTCCTAAGCGATAAAGTTTATTAGTGGTTGATCTTTAGTATATAGTTACTTTGATATGTAGATGAAGTGTGTCCTGCTTTACACATGGATTTCATTTGGACCAATCCATGGAAATCACTTTCTACAAAAAAAGAATATGCTTTGCAGGGAATTGAAATCCCACCTCTCAACCATGGAATTAGATTCCCTTAGTTACAAAGAAAATATATGAGTCAGTTTGTGTTTGGTGTGCCAAATAGGAAGTCAAATTTTCTCCTTAAAGGCTATGTTTTTTGAATGGCAACGGAAAAGCAATGCTAAAAACTTGTTTTTTTAAATATTGATTACCTTGAAAATTCCCAAGGAATAAAACTTGATTATTGTTTTTAGAAATTCAACATATATGTTCACTTAACTTCAACTCCACTGTTAGTATCTAAAAAGTAAGGAAAAGCTGAAGTGGAATTTCTGAGTAGAAAGTTGCTTGTGAGTAGTGATTCTAGTGACATTTTTTATAAATAGAGATTGCTTTAAACTCAGAGCGAGACTAGAAAAAACAAAAGAAGCATATATGCCATATATAGTAAAGCACAATTATATATATATATGTACAATTTTTAACGTTATAATATAGTGCTGTGATGAAAAAACTATGTATATAGTAGTATAGTACAAATATATTAGTAAAATGAGTTTGAAGAAATATTTAAAATTGATCTATTGAGACTGAACCAAGTCGCCCCCCCAAAGTTTATCCTTCTAAAAGTTTCGCATGTTTTCCTCCTTATTTTCATTCCCCAGCATATTTCTGAATTCCAAGCAGACCATTATTTGCTAGGACAACTATTACTCTCCACTGTACATGATCACTCTCATGAGACCAGTTTTTTGAGATTTTATTATTGATTTTTTTCTTGTGTGTATAGAAACATAAATACAATTCACGTCATCTAATAAGCTCTTCCTTTCACTTAAAGGTTTCATTAGTCCTACATTTCAGGGAGGGGATGTGGGAGTTAAAAGGTTACAAAGGTCAAGGACTCTGAAGAAGATGCTGAAGGAGCAAGAATTAGGCGGAAGAATATTTGGTGCGATGTGCTCTTCGTCGCTCACTTTACTGCAGAAACAGGGCTTGCTCAAGGTGATTTCAACTTCTCAAACTTGGTGCAAAAAGCGGGGAAATTGCTCACTGGCTTTTTTTTTTTTGTTCAAATGCTTTAAGAATGAGACTAAATGATACAAACCTTCTTGTGGGGCATGTTAAGCCTTCTCACACATGCCAAATATGAAGTGATAGCATGATAGAGTATCGATCCAAACAGTAAAAACAGTAGGTATATTCAATCAAGGAATTCTAAGAAATCCTCAGATATCCTTAGGAAATTACAAAGCAACGGGAAACGTAATAGAAGAAGTATAGAGGCAAGTTCGAGAGTGCCTATCTCTCCCAGAGTCCCAGTTCCTATTCTCAATTTCTGCCTCCTTATTCTACGCCCCAACTCCTATTTATTCTTTTGCATATGGGCCAGCCCACTGCAATTTAATTACGAGGCCTATACCCCTTCTATTGTACACTGTTATAATACTTAGTACGGAGTATTACTTTTATTAGGAGGAGTGTCCGGGTCCCTATAATCACCCCCCCTTTAACTACCACCTTGTCCTCAAGGTGGGTAGTAAGAAAATGATCTGACATTTGGTTTCAGCGGGTTATCTGCTACATTCAGTTCAGGCTGTTGATCACTTGTTCTCTTCTCTTCTTTTGGCTCTTCCATTAGGACAAATTGTTAATGTTTCATTCCACAAACATGCGTTTTGCTCCATTTTTCTCCACATTTGAAGCATAGACCTGTTTTATTTAACACAACAACATTACCCCAGTGCCGAAAAGGCTCCCACCTACGGTAGGGTAAGGGAGGTCGGATGTACGCAGCCTGACCCATGTACTAAAGCACAGCCTCGATGACCCATGATGAAAATCGCGTCAAAAATTGCATGCACTGACCGTTGCTTCATGGCAAAATTGCAGCCTAACCCATGTACTTCTTTCTTTTAATTCAGCCTGAGTTAATCTTCTGCCACTCTTCCCACTCTGATTAAGTACTGAAGGTTCCCCCATTTTGCTTTCTGAATTGGTTCTCTCAACTATCTGTGGGTTAATGGTTTGTGTTCTTCCTTTAACTCCTTCCACCCAATCCAAATGCCTGAACATGGTACCTCCCTGTTCTTTCCACCCCTTTTTGTCTTCTTCGCTATGTTTCCCTGATCTCATTGCAGACGGGTACAGTTTAAGCTCAGCCTTCACTTCAAAACATTCAGAAAAATTTCTTTCAGCATTTCAGATCAGTGTGTCTTAAAGGAGCAACTACCAGTTCAAATCACTCTCTATAGTCCACTACGCTACTAGTCTGCATAACGCTTATCATAGGCCCGAACAGGTTCTGAACCAACTCTGGCTGAAACCTTCTGATTAGCGCAACTTTGAATTGTTCCCAGGTCCTATCCTTTGTTTGTCCCTCCCACCATTGATACCAATTCAATGCCCGGTCCTCCATGGCAATGGTTACCACTTCGACCATATCCTCTTCCAGTATGTTATTCAACTTGAAAAACCTTTCTACCCTGATGGTCCACCCATAAGCATCCTCGCTGTTAAATAACAGAAGATCAATCTTCCTTTCGGTTCTAACGAACATTCTGTTTGCACTGGTGTCGCGCGGAAAAGTGGTTGTCTGAGATGTAGCGGATTTAACTCCGCAGTTCGACGATGTTTGGCTCTCGTCACGTTGTCGTCGGCTCGGAGTCCTGGGTCCATCTTGGGATCATGAAGAGTTTTGATTTTCATCTTGCGATCTTAGTTTAGTCATCTTCGATCGTCCCCTTGAAAGATGGCGATCATGATGCAGCATGATATTCCCCAGCTCATACATTCGGCGATCCTGATTCAGCATCCAGTTTCACATCATGTCCACTACGTTGTGCAAATCCTGAACCTTGTTCTCCACCACCTCCACTTTGTTCTCCATTTTTGCTCACGTTCAGGTCATCCACAGTGTTGCAGGCTTGTCGGCTCTGATACCAATGATAGAGTATCGATCGAAAAAGTAAAAACAGTATGTATATTCAATCAAGGAATTCTGAGGAATCCTCAGATGTCCTTAGGAAATTACAAAGCAACGGAAGAAACGTAATAGAAGAAGTATAGAGGCAAGTTCTAGAGTGCCTATCTCTCCCAGAGTTCCAGTTCCTATTCTCAATTACTGCCTCCATATTCTACGCCCCAACTCCTATTTATTTTTTTCCATATGGGCCAGCCAATTGCTATTTAATTACAGGGCTTAAACCCCTTTTATTGTACACTATTATATTACATAGCAATATGTAAGGTCTTGAGTTACTTCTCTTATCAGTTGACCTTTTAGGATGAGTTCCCAAAACATAAAAAAATCATTCGATTGGACATAACTGCTTAATAATGTAGCTTTCTGCTTAGAGTATTTTACTTAACAATTTTAAAAACAGGAAAAAATAACTACTGCTCATCCTTCCGTAATAAGCAAGGTAGATGATGTGATAGAAGGTGCCCGGGTAGTTGTTGATGGGAAGCTGATCACAAGCCAAGGCCTTTCTACTGCAATAGAATTCGGGCTGGCCATTGTGAGCAAGTTTTTTGGGCATGCAAGAGCAAGGAGTGTGGCAGAGGGTGTTGTTTACGATTACCCCCAGAGCTTCTAAGTGTCTATACGCTATAACTTTAGTAAAAACTGCAGTTAAGAAGATGCACAAACAAGGGCAGTTGTTTTGAAAGATGGGGGTAGGCATATCTTGTTCCATCCCTTCCATTGCTGACTGCATTTTGTAGGGCGCTTTAATGAAAGAATGACCGTGCATGTTGTTCGGCCTTGCACTTGATAACTGCTCCAGGCTGCTGGATGAGTGCTCTAAGTATACTCCAAATAATCTGTTTTAGCTATTTCAGTCGAGTCTGATATTTTTATCCTAATACCATTCAGTTTTTTTAAAGATTCAACTAAGTGTAAACAAATTAGTCTTGAGAGCTAAAAGAACGATGAAAGATCACTGGGACAGCTGAAATGTCTATTTTGCAGGACACTTGCACCCATGTAAAGATTTGAGCACTGACTCCCTCCGCCCTATTTTACTCGTCCTACTTTCTTTTTTGATCTAAACATTTAACTTTATTATACTTAAATTTCAATCACAATTCTTTCTTTTTCAATCTTATCAATAATTCTGTCAAATCAAAGTGTAATACATAAAATGGGACGGAGGTAGTAGTAAGTAAAAAGTAAATAAATAAGGTGGGTATGAGATCCACATACATGTTTTGTTTGTGAATGAGATTCATAGACAAAAAATGGGACGGAGGTAGTACGTAGCAGAGATGGACCCGGGCCGGGTCAAGGCCCGGTCGGGCCCCGGGTCTTATGATGGTAGGCCCGGGACCGGACCGGTCAATGACCGGTTCCGGTTCAGGCCGGGTCACCCGCCCGGGTCACGGGTCGGGCCACCCGCCGCGCCGGGCCAGTATATATTTTTTTTTAATTAATTATATATTATACAAATTGCTATTAAAAACAAAGTTCAAGTGCATTTATTTGAAATAAGAACTACATTAGAGAATTGAGAAAAAAATAACAATACGAAATACATTTTCTAATGAATATCAATTGGGATTTCCGCCACCGTTGGTTGTTGTTTTCCCTTTGTCACAGGACTTCATATGTTTTATTGGCATCCTGTATCCGTATGAACGCCCCAAGCAACACTCTTTCTTGCACCACCTGCAAGTTGCCCACCACAGTCCGGTCTTCGGGTCCTTCCACTTGTCAAAATTGTTTTGCATAAGGGAAGATGTACTTTCCATATTTAAAATGGTATATGTATAAGTAGGAATGTAGGATAATAAGAGAAGATGAAGATGGAGAAGAGTTTGAGAAGAATTGGAGAAGAGGTGTAGAAAAATGTTAGAAAATAGATGTATTTATAGATGTTTTTGAACCCCACTCCCCACACCACCACCCCCGGGACCCCCCTGCCCCCCACCCATAGCCCCAACGGCTATATAGCCGTTTGGGAGGTTTGATTTAATTTTTTTTTAAAGTTATACACATATTGTAAAATAAATTAATTAATTTAATGAATTAAGTAAAACTAAAACTATTTGTACTTAGAAAAGTGGTTTGATTTATAATTTACAAATGTTACAAAATAGGTGTGTAAGTATTTAAACAAATTACATATTGTAAATGTATTTTTAATTTAAAAACCGGCTTTATATTTTAGAAAAATAATTTTAAGTCGTTAGATTGTAACCAATTAATTAATTTGAGAAGTGCTACATATGAAAAAGTGAACACATATTTATTTGAAATATGAAGTACAAGTTTACAAATTAATTTGAAGTACAACTACAAATTTACAATTTTGAAATATGAAGTACAAGTTTACAATTTTGAAATATGAAGTACAAGTATAAATAAATTTGACAAGTGCTATAAAATACATTTTATAATAAACTCTAAAATACTAATCAATCGGAATCTCCGGCATAGGTAGAGCCACCATTGGTTGTTGAGTCATCCATAAAATCTTGGGAGGGGGTGATGCTCAATTCTTGAGTTCTACGTGCGGCCTTCAACCAATCGTGGTAGCATATAAGCGTCTCAAGAGACTCCGCGCTCAATCTCGATCTAGATTCCGTTAGGACGTTGCCGGTCGAACTAAATTCTTGTTCCACAGCAACTGTTGAAACCGGCATTGATAGTACTTGCTTAGCCATCCGTGCTAAAATCGGGAAAGTTCTTTCTTTTGACTTCCACCAGTCTAGAACGTCAAAGTCATCATTTTCTTCAAAATCAACTTCATATGTTAAATACAAAGTAATCTCATTCAATGCGCTTTGTTCAGTGACGTGAGTTGTTTTAGTTTTTTTCATAAGATTGCCAAATGCAGATTTAAAAATCGATTTTCCTTTAGATGAAGATGTTCGTGACGGGGGAGGGGAGCGTTGCTATATTGTGCACGAAACTCATTAAATAAGGCATAAAATAAAGTACTAACCTCGTTGTATTCCGTTTTCGGATCTATGGGGTTATCTTCATACATTGGAAATTCACCGAAAAACGCAAGATAATAGAAGTTGAAACAATCTTCCAAATTAGCAAGTCTATAACGAGGATCGAGAATAAATGCAATACCATAAATATGGGGAATATGCGCATAATATTTTAAAAACTTTTCCTTCATATGATCACAAAAATAATGAACGAAAACAGCATTCTGAAATTCTTTAAAAGCATCGGCGAGATTAACAGCTTGTGGAATAAATTGGTTTGCGCTAGGTTTATAAACATGACTAAAAGTTTCAGTAGCATTAAAAAATATATCAAAACATTACAAATTTTTTCGCAAGTGTCGATCTCAGCCGCGTTTATAATATAGTTATCATGTTCTTTTAAAAAAGCAGGAAAATGTTCTTTATATCTAAGAACAACTTTAAGTAATTTATAAGTACTATTCCAACGAATACTCAAATCTTTAGGAAAAGCAACATATCTCACACCTCTTTCAGTCAAATAAGTTTGTCATTTTAATCTAAGTTGACCATTACCCCAAATACGTCTAATCCCCCCCTTGATTACCTCCATGGAATCTCCTAACGCTTTTAAACCGTCTTTTGTATGTATGTATGTATTAAGAAATATAAGTAGAGATTAAGTAGATAAGAAATATAAGTAATATAGTATATGTATTTATAAGTAGATAATTAATATATAAATAGATATAATAATTGTATAAATATTAAATAGTAAAATAAAATATAAAGGAGAATAAGAGAATTTGAGAAGATGAATATGGAGAATTGGAGATGAGTAGAGAGTAGGATTTAGGGAGAGTTGGAGAAGTGGTGTGAAAAAATGTTTAAAATTAGGAGTATTTATAGGTTTTTTTTAACCCCCACCCCCACCCCCCCACCCCACCCCACCCCCAAACGCCCCGGACCCCCCCTGGTACCCCCCCAACGGCTATATAGCCGTTTGGGAAGTGGCTGTTGAGCCAAAATGTTTTTTTTCAAATTAAAAGATTTTTTTTTCCTTAAAAAAAATGACCGTTAGGCCCGGGCCCGGGCCCGACCCGGCCGGGCCGGGCCTCCAAAAACAGGACCCGAGCCCGGACCCGCTACCCCAACCGGTTCAATGCCCGAACCGGACCCGGACCCGAGAACCGGGCCGGTTCCGGGCCCGTACAGTGACGGGCCGGGCCGGGCGGCCCGAACCGGGTCCAAGCCTAGTACGTAGTAGTAAGTAAAAAGAAAATAAATGTCAATAAGTCAACAACATTCTAGGCAACACAATATTCTTTTGAAAACTATCCAATTAGTTACGCCAAATTTATATGTCAAGATGAAAATTTGTAGTCTTGTTTTTGCATCATAATTCATAACGTGCAACTTCTTTTGGATTTTAATAGTAAACATTTAAGCACTCATAATTTGCCCAGTGATTTAAAATAACCAGCCGGAGTCGATCTGTTATCAACATAATGACATGATTTTTGGTGCCCCTGATATTGTAAAGTTATTATCAAAATGATAAACCAAACCATTTTTTTTATCATCGATAAACCAAACAATTTTTTTTATCATCGATAAACCAAACCATTTAGAAAGTGGGTTTATGTTATTTTGTATTTTGCGTCGCACAAATTCTAACAATATTATTCTCGTTTTCCTTAATACCAAACGATATTATTTCATGAAGATATCAATGCTACTTGTTTTTAGCAGGTTGTCAAAATTCAGGATGTCAAAATTCGTGATAGTATTTTATAGGAATTAGGAAAGCCATCAATCAATCACTGCCCATCTGTTTTTTTTTCAATTTTTTTTAACAAAAACAAAATTGAATTAGTAACAAGTAAAAGGCACATAGGGCTGTTTACTTTTTTATCATAAAATTCTACGTAAATTAAGAAACTTGTCTAGATTAAGACATATGTCTTTGTTTATTACGGAGTATTGCTTAATATAAGCACTTCTTAGCTTTTAACTTAAAATAAGTTGAAAAAAATGTTTGCTAATGCACACTTCTACTTTTAGAAAGCACTTTAAAGCTAAAATCTGGAAGCTGGTATAGAGATGTTTTAAACCGCTTTTAACTTTTTCTATTACACAAAAATCGCTTATTTTATCAAACATCACCCACTTTTACTTTTTCAATTTTTTTTCTCAAACACTTCCAACTTTTACTATTAAACACTTTTTCCAAAATCATTTAAAAATCACTTTTTAAAAGTAAAAGCAATCGCTAACACTCATCTACTTTCCTTGCTCTAAAAAATAATTACATATGCCTAAAACTTTACATTATGAACTACTTAAATAAAATAATCACAATAAAAGAATTGTTGTGACAACAACATTGTAAATTTAAACTATTTCAACCACATTATTAGCAATTTTATCCCGTAAATTAGGGATGGACCGGTTCCGGCCCGGCCCGGCCCAACACAGTTTGGAACCGGCCCGGCCCGGTCTTGGACCGTTCCGGTTAGGCCCAACCCGGGGTAGTTAGGAGCGGGCTTTGGTCATGAAAAATAGGAATCGGCCTAGCCGGGCCGGGCTCAGTTCGGGCCTTTTTTGTTTTTTCATTTTTTTTTGTTTTTCCCGGGTTGAGCTGGGTGTTTTGGGGGGTTTGGGGGGTGGGGGGTGGGGGGTCGGGGGTTAATTAGAAAAGCAAAACAAAAAAAAATGAACCGACCCGGCCCGGACCTGGTGGACTTCCGGGCCGGTTCCGGCCCACCCAAAAGCCCGGTTTGGACTGGCCCGGCCCGGAACCGGTCCATCCCTACCGTAAATTTGTCATACATTGTAGGCTTTGGATACCGTATTGCGTGTCATTGACCTTTCTCCATTGTCTTCCCATTTCTCTCGTGCTTCATTGTTGAGTATACTGCCATCATCCAATTTGTATGATAACAATGAAGCTTTTACCTTGCCCAACTCTATCACCCTCTATCTTTAGAATAAAAGTAAACAAAACATAGCAGAATTTGAACCATGATCTGTATAAGAAGTTAAGAAAAAAGTTTATGAAAAGGAAATTACATGATAATCCTTGATATCATTGCACGCCTGCACTAATAGCTAGATTGGTAGTGAGTATTATAGCAACTTCTGGATGTTTGTAAAATTGTAAGAATAACTCTGCCGCTCAAATCCTTGATACGGAGTATTTGCTTTTACTCCTTTCTTAGCTTGGCTATAAAATGTGGAGTTGCCATTTGATAATTAAAACTTAACATGCATTTCGAATAAGGTTGCATCACCACTCATTAAGTCGGGGAAACCCAAGAAAAGGTTAAAAAACAAAACACTTGTACGAATTCTTTAAATATACACATCAACTTTAAAGTAATCAAATTTGGTGATGATGATCAACAACTTTTTTGGTCCCGAGGTTTGTGTTGAAAAGTGAAAACCTACCATTTCAGCAAAAAAGATGATCAAATCCTTATTTTAGGCACTGGTTTCTGCCTATTATTTCAACAAAAAGAGGTAGTTATCAAGCTTGGGTACAATCAGAAATCAGGAATTTATATAACAAAACTTATCCCTTCTTTTCTATTTTACGGAATCAGGAATGTATATTAAACATGGGCACTACTTTTCCTTGCTTTCCTAATTACATAAAAAAGAACGAACCTTGTATATCCACGAACAATCAGGAATATAATATATTTCCTAATAATAAATGGTATATCAAATTAGAATACTCTATGTCATATACTTATCTTTAATAGTTATGACATTAAGATTTTTACACTATTCACAAGTCTCACTTTGATCATGATTTTCTAATAGTATATAATCACATTGTTATGTACGGAGTACTCCTTCAGTCCCAAATTGTAAGATACATTTCATATTTAATTGGTCAACACAAATCACTCTTAAATTTGATTCTGGTTTTTGCGACTTTGTAAAGCTTTTAGTGTAGTTTCTGAATATGTAATTTTCTTCTATAAATAATTTGAGTACATACAGAAATTCGTGTGTTTTATCGTCGCTCAAACATTGTAAACTGTAAAGTATCTTACAAATTGGGACAGAGGAAGTATAAATATTATTAAAATTCAATTAATATGAATGATTTATGTGAAGCAGAAACCATATACTCCGTATATGTTATATGACTCCATAGTGGATTCATATAAGGCTCTATAAACTTGCTCAATTAGGGGTGTTTGGAATTGATTCTGTTTCTGCTTCTTTTTTAAAACACAAACAGAATCAGAATTAGTTTTCAGAAGCTGGTACCTCCCAGATTCTAAAAAACTGATTCTGGGATTAAATTAGAGCACCAGAAGTGCATCTGGAATTTCACTCAAACACTCCAATTTTTAATTATGCTCCCAGAAAGAGTAGAATCAGTTTTGAGAATCAGATCCAAACATCCTTTAATTCCATAAAATTCCCCAATTAAGTTCATAAAGAAACCCATAATAGTTTTGTTCACTTCATTCGGTCTTGTACTTATAAAAAAGGGAGTATTCATTAACCATTCATACGTATATTTTACACATAAAGAAGAGAATCAGTCACAATAAAACACGAGGTTAGTATTAGATGCGATTTTTTTTGGGAAAACTGTCAAATAGGTCCTCGAACTTTCAGAAAAAAGTCAATTGAGTCCTTCTATAAGAGACTATGTCCGACCGTCGTGATTTGGGGCGATTCCCGGTGGAATTTTTTGATGAATTTTTTTGAGCATCTTATTCATCAAGTCTAGTTTACTCATACCAAATTTCAGCTAAAAATTCAATTGGGAATGCATTCAAATTAATTCGAGAACGCAAAAATGCGCAGTTATCTTCAAGAATTAATTTGAATGTGTTCATGATTGAATTTTTAGCTCAAATTTGGTATGAATAAACTAGATTTGATGAATAAGATGCTAAAAAAAATTCATCAAAAAATTCCACCAAGAACCGCCCCAAATCGCGACGGCCGGACAGAATCTCTTATAGAAGGACTTAGTTGATTTTTTTATGAAAATTCGAGAACCTATTTGACAGTTTTCCCATTTTTTTTTCAAATTCTAGGTACCAAAACAAAGACTCGAAGTTGAAAAAAAAATACTCGTACTCCGTAACATATACCGATATACGTTACCCCGTTGATCACGGCAAAGTATCCGAAGATCTGGAGCATGGGGCCCACGAGCCCACAATTTCATTCGACGTGAAATCCACGTCCTTCGAATATTCCAGTCACTCTCTTGCTACTCAGACCAACGGCGGTCCAGCTCAGCCCAACTATATATACGCTCCGGTTTCATTTACTTCACCTCCACTACTACAAACCCATACGGCGGCGCAACCATGCCGGAACGCCGAGATACGCCGCCTCTATTCAAGCACAAATCGTGGTCTACCGATTTGTACCGGGAGGAAGCTTGGGCCAGACGGAAGGGACGCAATAGGCGGCGCGAACGTCACAAGAGCGTCACCGACGACGACTTGGATGAACTCCGCGGTTGTATAGACTTGGGATTCGGGTTCTACCCGGATTCGAGCGATTTGGATCCGAAACTCGCCAAGACATTTCCTGCTCTGGATCTATTCTGCGCCGTCAACAGGAGGTATAGCGAGTGCTTGTCCAGATCTTCGTCGATGTCGACTATGGCGTCCGATTTTGATACGGGAAGTCCTGCACCGATTCCGGCCATTGATTTAGGTAATTACCAAAATGGATTGTTTCTTACTCTTCTTTTGATGCGAATATAGTGTCGGCCGTAATTGATTTTAGGTGAATGTGTGTTTGGATTTTGGAATGGTGAAGGTGAAGATCCGGCGACGGTGAAGAGTAGATTGAAACAGTGGGCGCAGGTGGTGGCTTGCTCTGTGCGGCAGTCTGTTCAATTTCAAATCCATTAACTGCAAATATGTTTGTTCTATTACCCAAAAAGAAAAAAAAAATCAGTTTTTCTTCTCCATAATTTTTTTTTGTTTGCCAGCATTGCGAATGCCATCCAAGTGTATATAGTTTTTTTTTTTTACATTTCTCAACCTGTGATTTATTTACCCAAATATCGATGACAAAAATCCATTTATCTAAGGCTCCTTTTCATTGATCACAATTTTATTTTGGGAGGGCAGATTTCTGTTAATTTTAATAATCAATTACGGAGTATGATTTTAGAGGGTGTTTGTATATGCTTCTTAAAATTGTGAAGGAGTAGAAGCGGATATTTGAGAATTTGGATGAAAGTGCATAAATACTTATAGAGTTTTAGGTGCTCCAAATTACTTTTGTAAGCAATTAATTTAGTAGCTCAGGGAGATTACCTAGTGCAAAACAGATTCTGATTTTGTTTTTGCTTTAAAAAAATAGAATCAGAATCAGTTCCAAACACCTCTTAAATCACCAAGATACTTCGTACAAGAATGATTAATACCTTGTCATAAGCCAATGCATACGTTTGGGTATTGTAGACAGTGGCGGATACAGAAAAATTCGTTATTGGGGGCGCCGCCAACATGCATATAATAGCGGAGCTACTCTAAGAGCCCATTTGGTAATACCCAAATTGGTTGTATTAGCTGATTCTGTTGAAATTTATGAAATTCTGACTGGAGTGGCTTGATTGGCTTATTTTGCTGATTTATGGGGGGAAAAATTAAAATATATTTTATTAATAAAATAAAGAAGTAATTATATGAAAAACAGATAAAATGATTCTCTACAGTAACTTCAGCCAATACAGCCAGAAAAGTAACTAAAACCCTCACTTTTTCTTATTATTATACAAAGTACAATTCAGCGCTAAATCAAAAGTCGAGTGTTTGGTAAAAAAAGCTAGCCAATCTGATAAGCCGAAAAACAAAGTCATCAAACAATTCTAAATAGTGCAGTACAAAGTGTATGTTTAGAGTTAGTGGAATAAAGCCCCAAATAGGAATAAAATAATTTCAAAATATAAAATGTGATTATTGTTTTGATATTATCCAAATAAGAGTAATTTATACTCTCTCTTCCTATCCTACGCTTACTAGTAAGAAGATCATAGTACCTTGTCCCATTTTAGTTGGTCAAACTTGATTTTTTAGTCAATAGTGTTTAACTTTGATAGATTATGTATTTTAAATATAGAAGTATTGATAATATGAAAATGACATGAAAATGTTCTTTGTTAAAAATAATATCATTAAACTATAAAATTACTAAAGTAATTGGTCAATGTTTTCCCATCTTTGACTAAAAAGGTCAAAAATGACTAACTAAAATGGGACAAAAGTAGTATATAATAAAAACTTAAATAAAGAAAACCACATAAAGAATTAAAAACTAAAAAACTTATAAAAAAAAAAGTAAAGGCTCGCATGTTCTTTTTACGTTTTTAATTTTTGATGTTTTATTCTTTTATGATTTATTGTTTAAATGAGAAAAACTTATTAAAATATGACATGTGTAGGATATGAAGAGTTACTCTTATTTTGAAAATTTAAAATTTAAACTCCTATTTGTACAATATTGCTTTTATTTACTCGTATTTAGTAAATTATTCCAAACAATAAATATTTTAAAAATAACAAAAAATTGCTCACTTACAATCTTAGATCACCCAATAATTACATTGCTTTGTTCTTCGCGTACGTGAGGCCTTCTCCCTTTCTTATTGGGGGCATCAGAGTTTTTCTATTGGGGGCACGTATGATTATACTTAATAAAATATAATTTTGTACAACTAAAAACGTAGACTTTGTTGGGGGCATGTGCCCCCATTAACATAAACGTGCATCCGCCCCTGATTGTAGATAGAACTCGCTTAAAAGATATTCTTATGAGCACTTTAAAAACCACTTTAGTTCATTATGTTCGATATAAGCTACACGTTGTGATGGTCTAGCTTTTGAGAAAATCTTAAGGGCCTGTTTGGTAGTTCACACATTAAAATTTTATATGCAAAATGATTGCATGTAAAGTGTAGGTCTGTAATTAGTTTACATGTAAATTAAAAGTACACGCAAACTCTTTACAATGTTGTTTGGACAATAATACAGAGTATTATATTACATATAAAATATTTACAAAAAGACTACAAAATTCATTTAACAAAGCTGCTACGCCGTTCAAAGTGATAAACGTGGGTGATGTTTTCCAATAATATATTATGGTATGCATAATTTATATATTAAAAAATCAAAAGTTTCAAAAATCGAAAGTTTCACAAACATTCTATCGCCTCTTCTCTCTGTTCTTTTCCATGATAATTTGATG